TTTAATATTTTAATAATTTATTTAAATTAATTTAAAAATTAAAATTTTAGATTAAGTATTATATATATATTTCAGATTATATAGTTCCTTCAAAATATTGGTATTCTAAATTGAATCTTTTAGTAATACATATTTAAAGTATTTCTAATCAATTTGTATTTCATTATCAAATATATTTATTTATTAAATGATAGCTAGATTTTTAGAAAGAGTTACACATACCGTAAGAATTAAGAATAAATCTACTCTAAAAGGTTATAAATTCTTTAATTTATAATGCTAATTATATATATTCTTTTATATCAAAAATTCAAAATTAATTTAAGGTTTAGCAAATAATAAATTTAAGTAAAGTAGAATAAGAGGTGTATCATCTTATATCTTAATTACCAATAAGAAATAAATCATTTAATATTTATATAGATAATTATTTTACTAATTATTTTTTAAATATTTATGTAAAAAAAGAGTTAAGACATATAAAACAGTTCGTAAAAATAGTGTAAATTTTCCTAAAATTCTTAAAATAAATAAAAAATTGGACTGGAATATACTTTTTGATATAGTTGTTAATGATGTACTGGTTTTTTATAAAAAGATATATATAGTAATAATGCTTTTAATAATTTACCAAATTGATGAAAATGAAAATCAAATTGAAAAAATATGATATTAATCATGAAAAATATTATTAATACTACTAAGTTCATGTAATTTTTAAAAATTTAAATAAAAAATCTTTACCTATTTCTATTGTAATAGATAATTATAACTATTTTATATATAGTGTGAATATTACAGATTAGTTATAAGAATATTATGGTACACAATTATCAGTATAAAGAATTTAAATGCTATTGTTTTTTGGCTATTAGATACTATAATTATTAACTTATATTTAGTATTAAAAAAATTGATAAAAATATTAATCACAAAGATTTTAGAATACAACTAATATAGAATTTAATTAAAGTAGGAATGGTAAAAAAACAAATCCAAATACATTAAGTTAGAGTTCAATTAATGAATTAACAAATAAATTTAAGTTTATTTAAGTTGATATCATAAAAAAATAATAATATATTATATCAAAATTTGAACTTCTATCATAAAGATTATTATTAGATAGTTATTTATTTAATATTTAAATAGAGGAAAATAAAAAATAGTTATATATAATGTATATATTTGATAAAAAAAAGATCAAAAAAAAAGTAGCAAGAGATTCTTCTTAATCATAATTATATTGTATAAAATGTAATGTAGTATTGTAATAAGAATAAAAGCAATTATTTTAAAGATTATTATACTTAAGTAAAATGATAAATAATGGAATTTAAAACACTTCAGTAATTTAAAATAAGATATTTTTTATTATAACTTATTTTACATTTTTATGATAGATTTTGTATAAATAATTGACTTTTAGGATTCTATATAAAGTTAAAATCTAATTTTTAAATCTAAAAAATTAAAATAATAAAATTTATTTCTTGTAACAAAATTTGTGAGTTTTACTAAAATTTAGGATAGCTATAACTTGATCTCAGTGAGATCATTAAAATTTAAGACAATTTTTTTTAAACTCATAATATTTTTTAATAATGCAAGTTTTTTAGTTAATAAATAATATTTGATTTCTAATATATAATTAACAAATAATGATTATCATTATGTATTTATATCTATAGTCAATCAGCAAAAAAAAATTCAAGATTAGCTTTACTTTTTACAAAATAGATCAATGTTAAAATTATTGTAAATTGTAAGCAAATTTACTTGCAATTTTTTACTGTTTAAGAGATAAAAAATTATAAATTTATTATATAGAAGGGTTTCTAGGAAAATCAGATTCTGAGAAATTTTTTACTTAAATTAAGAGCTTAATACATTTTAATCTAATAACATCAAAAACTAAAATACAATAAAAATCTAAATTTTGTTAAAAAATTCCCAGAACCTGATTTTCCTAGAAATCAACCTATATTTTATCTCTATACAAAATATTTAAAGCAAATTATATTAATTTAAATTTATAATTAAAGTATATAAATAAATGTTTTAAATATAACTATTTAAAATTTTTTATTTTTTTCAATTAATTTATTAAACTTATCATTTTTTTAAGCTATTTTTTCTTTATTTTAATAAGATAAATTATATTTTAAACTTTATTTTTTATTAAATATTTTTTTAATATAAGTGAATATCTATACTTTTTCTTAAATATCTTATATATTAAATATAAAAATATAATTTTTAAATAAAAATTCTATCCTATATAAATTATTTTTATTTTTTATATGATATTAATTCTTTTTTATTTATATAATTTTTTAGAAAAAAATTATAAATTATAATAAAACTGAAATATAAAATTATAATTTTTTAAATTCATTATTAATTTTTTAATTTTAATATTTTTTTTTTAAACAAATAATATATATACTTAAGTATTTATTTTTTTTTTGATTATATTTTTAAAATTCTAAAATTAATTAAAAAAAAAATTCATAATTTATTTATCAATAATTTTATATTTCAATTAAAATATATCAATTAAAATTATTTAAAATTTAAATATTTAATTTAAAATTAAATTCAAATTTAATATTTAATATTTGTTTAAATAAAATTTATTTTTAAAGCTTTAAATATTTAAAATAAATTTTTTATTATATTTTTGATATTAAAATTCACTTGTTAGAAATTAATAATATTTATTAATATTTGGATAATATAATTACTTTAAAATTTTTTTAATATTACTTAATAAAAAATACTTCATAATAACTTATTTAAAATTTTATTAGTCTGAAACAGAATGAAAAATTATATATATTTTAGCTAATTTAATGTTTTGATATTTGTCTGTTCAATATTAAGTCAATACTAATTGGTCTTTACAATTACATAAAAGTTTAAATAAAGGCAAATACTAATATAAACTTTTTTAGTTAAGATTATTTTAGACTTAACAACATTCAATGTTCTCTAGTTTATTTAATTAAATTTTTAGAATTAGAAAACAGTTTTGAAACTATTATTAAGTTTGAAGTATAAGTATAAAAAAAGAAACCAATACATATTGACTTTGAGTAGATGGACAAATAGATACTAAACATAGACATATATAATTCTTTGCTTATGCTCTGGACTAATAAATTCTAATTTATGATAAATAACAAATTTATGATGCTTTATTCTAACTGAATGAATTTATTAATAAGTTATTTAATTTTTAGTTATAATAAATATTATAGTAGATTCAATTTATTATTAAAATTCATTCTATATTATTGGTAAAGTTTTTATTTTAGAGAATTAATATTATAACTTATAATGCTAAACTAAAACTCAATAAAAACTGATTTGAAAGAAATCAAATTATATGGGATCTTTGCATAGAAAAGGGGGAAACAGCCGGAAAAAATCAATTTTACTTTTATATGCCAAATATGATTTTTAGGTCAAAATATGTTCAGATTTAGCATTAACTCAATTTTTATTTTTTCCAGCCATTTCCCCCTTTTCTTTTGCAAAGGTCCTATATGATAAATTTATGGCTAAATTAATAGATTCAAAATTAGACAATTTAAAATAGAAAAATCTAGTTTTAATATCAAAAGTTTTACGTTTTTTGTAGAAAGATTAGTAAATTGGATAAAGAAGTACATAAGACTATTATAGTTAAGACTACAAAAATATTAAATTTTGCTTCAGAGATTCCTTAATCATTTGATGATGCATTACGATCACAGCATATGCAAGTAACTTTAAACTGACTGTTTGACGAGAGGAACATTGCAATCTTTGTTCTTTCTACCACAAAGACGATCAGCTATTGATAAATGATACTATAACTAATTATTGGATTCAAAACTATGAAACCGCTTACCGTAATTTTTTATGAAATTGGTTTAAAAGAAATTAAAGATTAAAAAATTTTATTTTTGTTAAAGAATAAATTAACGGAACAAGGTAATACGAATTACAAATATATTAGTCTAATGCGTTAAAAATGTTCTGGAAAATACCTGTTGTTAACATGAGAAATGACATCAGATCAAAGTCGATGAGATAACTGCAAATTTAGTTCGAGAGATAAAAACAGGGAGACATTTACCAATAGTTGCAAGATTATGTGGAAGTGGTTCATTTGGAAAATTGGTAAAGGAACCAACAACATTCCAAGATGAATTCTTGTCCAACATTGAGATCTTCTTTCATGGAATTTCAACTTTACAATGATCAACCTCGTTATAGTTAGTAAGAGATTTGAAGATCAATGTCTAACGAGTTAAGGGGGATAACATCATTTTCAATAAGAATGTTGGGGGAAAAATAGGCAAAAAAAGGTTAATAAATATCACACTGTTTCATTTCAGTATTAAAATTTGGGAATCTTCATGCGTTTCTAATTAATTTAAGGATCTATCGGTAAGGACTTTCCAGTTGAATTAAATAATTAAATAATATTAAGCAAACAGATCAATTCTCATTCAATTCCTTTATCATCTTTCAGGATAAAAAAAGGTGCAAGTCATGAATGGAAACAATTCTAATAACACATATTTTTAGTTTTTCGAATTACTAAAAATTGAAAATTAAGAACTTAATCTAAAAAAACTAAAATGCAATAAAAATCTCAATTTTGTTAAAAACTCCCGGAATCTGATTTCCTAGACAATCAACCCAATTATTTAGCCTAGAAAAAAATTCTTGTTTACCAAAAATGGGAATAGAGGATAACATTTCCTGGGTTATGGACGTTGTACTACAGAACTAAAAATATATTATTATTTTTTCACTATCTTTAAATGGATTTTCTACTCTCAAATTAAAATTCAAAACTTGAATTCAATAAGCCTTAATTAAAACTTGAAAAAAAACTTGTCTTTTTTTACTTACCTATACGCCACTTTGTTTTAGTATCGGTCAAAAAGGAAACAACCGTATTCATCTTCTTTGTTCGTTGTGTTATAGGTAATATAGTAGTAATGAGTCATAAATATCCTCCACCTCAACAACCTTATCCACAACAACAACCGTATCCACAACAACAACCGTATCCACAACAACAACCGTATCCACAACAACAACCGTATCCACAACAACCGTATCCACAACAGTATCAACAGCAATATTACCCTCCTCCACCTGCTTCGTCTACATACTCTCCTGTTTATAGTAGTGAATATGATCCTCCAACCTATGAAAACAATCAAGGTCAAGGTCAAGGTCAAGTACACAGCGAAGTAGGAAAAAACTGGAATAAAAAACCAAGGTTTCAAGGTATGTTATCCAATTTTACACTGGAAATTTGTTTGGATTGCATTTATCACTAAAGTAAATATCTTCATTTATCAGATTTATGGGCGGCCATCTTGTTTCTCATTCAATTTGTTGGGTTTCTTGTATTAAGCTATACTGGAATAAAGACGATTTTAAACAAAAATAAATTGTCAAACCAAAATCCCGCTAATGATAATGATGATATTATTAAGGGTATTAAATTGGATACTAATAGCATAGTATTGCTTGTGGTTGCTGGAATTTTCGGATTTTTCTTAAGTTTACTATACATGTTTTTAATGCAAAAATTTCCAAAACCTCTTATAAAAATCACTTTATATCTCTCAATTGCAACTTATTTTATTGCTGCCGCTATTTATGGTTATGTTGGGCAAATCATATTGGTAAGAAAAATATTTTTAATTTTACATTTTTTTTTTAGGATTAACCTTTTGTATAAAGAACATTTATTATTATCTAGGCGGTTATGTTTGCACTTTTTGGAGTAATTTATTTGATTTGTGCTTTTACATGGCGAGATAGAATTCCTTTTGCAGCTATTTTGTTAGAAACCATAACTTCGCTCACAAAAAAATATTATGGTACGATAATAATGGGATTTGCAGGTTTAATAATTCAAGTAGGATGGTCGATTTGGTGGGCATTGACTACAATTGGATCGTAAGTTTTTTTTTTTTTAAAAAAATTATCATTACATTTTAATAGTTTGTTGACATTGTATTTTCTTAGATTCGATAAATTTTACGAATCGAGCGGATGTGAAGAAACAACACCTGACAAAAGAGGAATACGTGCATTTAGTTGTAAAGATCCGTATTTATATATTGTATTGTTATTTTTAGTATTTAATTTCTATTGGACCAGTCAGGTTATAAAAACTGTTGTTCATGTTACCGATTCTGGAGTATTTGCAACTTATTATTTCCTCGATGGCACCGATCAAGGTGTAGGCAGCACTCCAACCTTAAGCTCACTCAAACGTGCTTGTACTACTTCATTCGGTAGTATCTGTTTTGGTAGTTTGATTATTGCGATCCTTAATACTATAAAAGCTATCCTTCGCAACATTGCAAACAGTAATGATGATGCATGTGGATTTGTTGCTGCTTGTTTCGCCTGTTTATTAGCTTGGATTGAATCTCTTGTAGAATATTTCAATCATTATGCTTACGTTGAAGGTAATATACATATATATATATATGTATGATTTTATTTATTTATTTTTTTTTATTTATTTGCATTTCTTACATTTCTAACGATATGAACGAATTATTAATAACATAGTCGCGATATACGGTAAATCATACTGTCGTGCTGCAAAAGACACTTGGAAATTGATAAAGAATCGTGGTGTTGAAGCCATTATTAATGATAACCTCATTGGAAATGTACTCACAATGGGAGCTATATTTATTGGCGTTCTTTGTGCATTATTTGGTTACGGTTATATTAGTTTATTCCTTAAAGAAATTAAAGATAATGGAACTTTGGTTTTGATACTTGTTATAATTTGCTTTGTCCTTGGTTTGATGATGACGGTAAATATTAAATAGCCTTTTAATTTTTTTTTAAAAAAAAGATTAATTTTTTAATTTTAGATTATTAACTTGGAATTCTTTAATTTTACAGATCGTTGTAACTGATGCTATTGATTCTGGTGTTACAACTACATTTGTTGCCTTGGCTGAAGATCCTGATGCATTAAGACGTACTAAACCACAATTATTTGAGAGAATTCGACGTGAATGGCCCGGGGTGGTTCAAGGAATGTAAAAAATAAGAAAAAAGATTTTATAATGTTATAAATATATCGTTATCATTTGTATTTTTTAATTTATCATCGTCGGAATTGGCTTATAAATTTAAAATTCTCGCAATAAAACTATTTTAAATGAAATCTGTACATTGTTTGTTACATTCCCAATCGCACAAATTGTTATATTATTTTAAAATTTTAAGTACATCACGCAGTAATTATAGTATTTATCAAACTAATAATAAAAATAAAAAGAAATCAAATAAAAACAAATTGCTACTTCAGTCAGGGAATTTACCAAATATATTATGATGATCGTTTCCTAATGTAGTAATAAAATTGCCGATCAGAATACTCTAGATTTGTTTCAAAACAAAAATTGATTAATTAAAATTAGAATTTTTCTCACTTCGTAAACTTTAAACTGGCAATATAGTAATCACATATTAATGTCAGTGAAAAAAAAATGTTATTAATTTATTTAAACTAGAAATACTTCATTTATATATGTTATGTATCAGATTTATATTGATATATTAGATAATATTATGCTGACTATACTAGTGAAAAGACTCTTCTTATAACCTTCTTTAATAATAGATTATTTTTCTGTTAGCTTTTTTATAATTAACAATTACCTATAAATATATAAATGTCTATTAAAAAAAATTAGTTAGAATTGTATCATATAATTGATTTAAATGCAAAATAAAATAAAAAAAATGAAATATTATCTATTCAAATTTTATCTTGTAAATGAATCCTTTTGTTTTTTTGTTCATATTAAGTATTCTTTTATTAATAGATCAGAATGATCTTTAACATATGATTATATTAGTTCTATAACCATAACTTGGCAATAAATGTTGCAAACTGAATCTTATGATTTATGATGATCATAACATTTTTTAAAATAAGAAAGTTGATTTTTAGTTTTATATTTCTGACATATTATGAATTGTTTGAGATTAATATCCCTATTTTGAATAATAAAAAATTATACAGATAAAATAATAAAGACTTTAAATATATAAAATATAAGTTTACCAATTTAATTTTATATATGTCTAAAACATATTCATTTCTTCATATAATTGTTTAAGGTTAAAAATCAGCCATAGATATTTCTCCTTTACCTTGATTATATAATAATATAGAATACTATCACACATTACACATATCTATTTATATTTTCTATTCTTAATTTTTGATATTTTTCAATATGAAGGAAAATTTTTTTAACATTCGCAATTATATGTGAATTATTGTTAAAAGAATCAAGAATATAGATTTTCAGAAAATTAATCCTCTCATAAGCAGAAGTTTTTTTGAATAACACTGATTTTTAGTATAATAGATAATAGTGCTTCCTAAGGATGGCACCTCAATTAGTTGCAACAGGTGACAAATAGGCATCACAATGTTGCAACGAATTGCAACATTATTAAAATTTAAGTTGCAACAGGTGACAAATAAGCATCACAATGTTGCAACACCATCTTTAGTGCTTCCTTTTCAATATTATAAGTTTTAAAGACTATTGATTAATCTATTATATTTTTCTCTAATTTAACATATTATTTTAATAATTTTGCTAATATAGGTAGATAAGATCGATACTTTAGACAAACTTACTTTTGATTATTAATATTTTATTTTTCACAGATAAGATTTTTATGTTGCTATGATTGTTTGATTCTATATTAACTATGAGAGAATTAATTTTGTTATTATGAATAATTTTTCTTTATATAACAAAATAAGAATTTTGAAAAGAAAAACATATATTTCATTATTTAAAGCTTATTTTATTTCAGAAATAAGATCAAAAAGATTTTCATATTGTAGCTTACTAATAGAACTGAAAACCTAAGATATATTAGTATATTAAATATAATTTTGTGAGTCTATATTAAAAGTAACAAACTAGTGATAATATGAAATATCATAGTGTTAAATTCTTGATTGAGATAGTTTTTTACTCTCTTTATTAATTATTAAATGCCAAAAATAAAAGCTTTTTTGGTAAAAATTCTTTCTTTTTAGATAAATCATCTAATCAATTCTGAAAATAAAAATAGCTTTCTGAATTTATAATATAATTGTCAATATTAATAATTATTTTTGATTATACTATAGATTATTTAATGGCTAATACTATAAGATTCATTTTTGATACATATTTTTTATGTCTAGATCTATATATTAGATTAACAGTCATGACTCTTTTATATAATTTCTCATTTTTCTCAAAAGCTGTATTAATACAGTCAGGGGATATACCAAAAAAGGAAACGGATTCTAGAATATTCTATTGCAGATTCTTGAAATTTGATTGGCTTATTTATTCATTTTATACTTGTATTTTGAAAAAAATTTTTACAATATTTGTTTGATATAAAAACTTTTCAAACAGATAGAACAAGACGTCTAGTTTTCATAATCACAAATAATCCTACATAGTTAAGTCTATTTTATTAAAGTAAATGAGAGCTTAAACTGAGTATTTGCTTTATATATTATTAAATAACATAAATGAAAGAACAAAATTTTATTCAACTAATTTAAATAATTTTTTTTGTAGTGTTTACTTATCTAAAATCCAAAGCAAGAAATCTTTAATGCATTTTTGCAGATCTAACTGAAAAATATGAAATTGGATTAAAACTTTGTGAACTAAAGTATCACAAAAATGAAAATATGTTAATAATAAAAATACAGCTAAAAAGTTTTTACAATATCATACTTACCTTCCTGAACTTGCTAACTATCATTTTTCTTTGAATGTCTATTTAATTTGTAAAAGGCACTATAATCAAACCATTACTACTAATCAGTTTTATCAGCATCTTGTAGGTTCCGTTCAAGAAAATAAAAGGCTCTAACTTGAGGATAATGATATTAATTCAATTGCTGATTTTGATGAAGCCAAAAGACTCTTAAAATCTATACAATTAGAAAATCAGTAGAAATCACAGTCAATAGTAGATCTTAATAATCAAGTTATATGAATGCAAAATTATATAGAAGACCAAAAAAATGAAATAGCAGAGTTGAAGAAATAATTACAGCGGGCCTATGATAATATGAGTAAAATACAAAACTTATATGATGAACAATGTAAAAATAATGAAATTCTTATTAGACAATAGAATTTAAGATTTGTTGATCAGCAAAAACGTGTTAACGTGATTATTGAGATAGCAAACACAGAACATGTATCATTATTTAATGATTTAGAATCACTAATTCAAGATAGCAATAAATTTTCTATAGAGAATCTTGTGATATATAATTCTTGTGAATGGCTCAATAGGTATAATAAAGTTGTTGTAGCATTTATTAAAACTTTGGTTCAAAATATTCAAAGTACTAATACTTTAAGTCAAGAAAAACTTTTTAAAACTGCTATTATAATTGATTCAATATATAGTGTATGACATAGAAAATATATTTCAGAAATCCAATTTGCCCTTTCAGCTATTAAGTATTTAATCATACAATCAAAGATGATTATCAATATTGACAATCATATTACAAGCTCCAGGAAGTTACTTTCAATTTCAAAAATAGCTGAAAGAATTATCAAAGCAAAAAGAACTATTATCCAAAGGATTTTTATTTCTTGCATTTGATAATGAACAAAGAGGGCAAAAAAATTATCTTGACTAAGACTATAATACAGTGATTTATCATATCATTACCAGTTTCGTCACCTTTAATATGTCATCACAAAACAAAATTCAATATACTGATTCACTTTAAGCATATCACTTCCTTAATAAGTTATAGCTTAAAGAACTTTTTGATATTAACTCTCAAATGCAAGAAGCTATCAATAAAAAATTATATAATTATCTTGCCAATATTCTTAATTTATTATCTAAAGAAAAATTATCCTCTACTAATGCAATTGATTCTCTTATAATATCTATAGAAACTAATATTACTAATATGAAGGAATGTCCTAATTTTTATCAATAAAATATTGAGAATCGAAAGAAAAAATGCCCAATATATAAAACACAATTGCCAACATTGACTGATATATAAAAAGAGAAAGTAGCCAAAATAATAACTAACAAAACTAATGATATCCTTATTTTCAAATCATATAGATTTAACGATGAATTAAACATTACATATGTCCCTAAGATTAGCATTACTTAACAATGAACTGCTGATCAAAGAGTTAACACCCCTGATATTTATATTTCTGATCTAATTGATATTAACCCTAACTCTATTTCAAATATTGAAAAAGTTATTTTGCATATAGAAAAAATAACAGGTATTAGGGATAGAATTCATAAGTGGATGGTGGTGATCTATGATGATATCCTATACCATTATATTATAAAATTAAAAGATAAGTTTCCTTGGCTAGTACTTATACCAGGACTACAGCATGAAGAAATGAATATGCTTTGATCATTTGTGAAATTAAACTGATAAGTTTAATTAAAATTTTATTTGTTTTTCTGATTTTTAGATTTTTACTTACTTGATAACTTAAATTTTATATTAGAAAAATCAATATAAAATGATTTGCTGTATGTTAAGGTTATCAAACAGATAATCAGCTTTTCTATTTCAAAAAATGTGCGGACTATTATAAGTCTTGGAATGCTATCTGTAATATATACTATCAGGTAATTTCTATGGAACTTATATGGCTATATGTAAAAAGCAATTCTGAAATATCGGTCAAAAGATATCTTGCATAGGTCAAAAACTAACAAGATTCATTTTATCAGATAAAATATGAACAGACAGGTTACTATTAAACTTTATACTTTTATAAATACTAACGTTAATTTTATTTTATTATTAAATATTATAACAGATATTCGTTTATCTTCAAGCAATAATCAAAAGTTATACAAACCAGTAACTTTTTATTAAAGAGAGCTGTCAAAAAAATATATTTCCCTATTTTGTTTACAAGACGTCATCCTATTTACTGCTTAATAGAAGTTTCTGATAAAATTCAATTAATGCAGTTTTGTCTAGAAGT